ATCAATTTGTTAGCTGTCCATACTTCCTGGAGTTTCTTTTGAGGAGAATTCTTCCATTTTGTCATTTTGGGTAGTCCCTGGGGTGTCTCCAAAATGCAGGGCACTTCCCCTCTACTGTCCGGAGTAACTTGTGTAGGTGGGTGGGGCCACAGTCAGACTGGATGTCTTTCCCCAGCCCACTGCTGAGGCCACAGTCAGAATGGTGTGTACCTTATCTTGCCTTCTCCCAGGGGCAGGACTCACTGTGGAGTGGTGTGACCTCTCTCTGGGCTACTTGCACACTGCCAGGCTTGTGATGATGCTTTGATGGGATCTGGGGTATTAGCCGGGGTTGATCTGCAAGGTGCACAGTGGTGGGAAGGGCAGGCTTAGCTGGCTTTGCCTTAGGTGGTCCCCTTTCGGAGGGGCCCTGCAGCACTGGGAGGGAGGCAGATCCGTTGGAGGAATGGGTCCACAGAAGCACAGCTTTGAGTGTTTGCGCAGTGGGAGCAAGTTCCATGACAGGGATTGGGGTTTCAGCTGGGGGATGGGAGAGGGAGATGGCGCTTGCCAGTGTCTTTGTTCCCCACCGAGGTGAGTTCTGTCTTATGGGGCTCAACAACTCTCCCTCCCAGTGCACTCTCGCCCTCCCCACTCTCCAAGAGCAGAGCCATTGACTTTTAACATTCCAGAGGTTAAGTCCTGCTGGCTGTCAGAACTCAAGGAGTCCAGCCCCTCTGCTTTTGCAAGCCAGACTCTGTGGCTCTGCCTTGCCGGGCGGGCTACCCCTCCACCTCCCCAGCTCCCTCCTGCCAGTCCGTGTAGCATGCACTGCCTCTCCACCCTTCCTACCCTCTTCTGTGGGCCTCTTGTCTATGCTTGGCTCCGGAGAGTCCTTTCTGCTAGTCTTCTGGTGGTTTTCTGAGTTATTTAGACAGATGTGGGTAGAATCTAAGTGATCAGCAGGATAAGGTGAGCCCAGCGTCTTCCTATGCCGCCATCTTCTGTGTTCTTTCATTTTAATTTTATTAATGTTTATTCATTTTTGAGAGCTTGAGAGAGAGCATGAGTGGGGAAGGGCAGAGGGAGAGGGAGACACGGAATCTGAAGCAGGCTCCAGGCTCTGAGCTGTCAGCACAGAGTGTGACACAGGGCTTGAACCCACAGACCATGAGATCATGACCTGAGCTGAAGTCAGATGTTTAACAGACTTGAGCCACCCAGGTGCCCCTGTTATTACCCTCATTTTAAGGATTAGGAAACTAAGTGTAGCACAGCCACATTGCGACCCTACCTTGGCACAATTTGACCCTTTATAGCATTGGAATTGGCTAGAATTGGCAGGACTTGGCTTCAGCCAGCACCAGTCTGGAGTTTCTGGTGCTCTTCTTTCCTCTTTCTTTGGAGACTGACCAAACCAGGAACAAGATGGACTTCTCTCTCCCTCTGGACTTACAGTCTTAGCAGAGTCAAGCTCCACTTGAAGCTCAATTAGTAATATTCTTTACATGTGTTTTATATGATTTTGATTGCATTTTTTGTAGAAACAAGGAAACCAACACACAGAGAGGATATGTGAGTTGCCTGGTATCAATCAGCTTGGTGAACACAGGAGTATATTTACCTTTCTCTCTCTCTCCCTTTCTCTCTCTCTCCTGCCCTCCCTCCCTCCCTCTCTTCCTCTCTCCTTCCTTCCTCCCTTCCTTCCTTGTCTTTCTTTTCTTGTCCTTTCTTTCTTTCTTTCTTTCTTTCTTTCTTTCTTTCTTTCCTTCCTTCTTGTTCTTTTTTTTCTTGGTGGCATTATGTGTGGCAAGTTTATTCTTTCTTTTCTTTCTTTCTTTCTTTCTTTCTTTCTTTCTTTCTCATTCTTATTTTTTTTCTTAGTGGAATTATGTGTGGCAAGTACTTAAAAAAAGAACTAGAATGCTCCTGTCTGTTATGGTAGGTGGACAAGATGATATTGAGTGGTATCCTGGTCCGATCATCCTCAGTTTAGCAAGTGTAATTTTAAAATTCATCCTTCCATTTGCAATGATGTGGATGAAGCTATAATGTATTATGCTAAGTGAAATAAGTAAGTCAGAGAAGACAAATAACATATGGTTTCTCTCCTATGTGGAATTTAAGAAACAAAACAGATGAACACATGGTGGTGGTGGGGGGGAACAAACCATGAGGGACTTTTAAAGACAGAGAACAAACTGAGGATTGTTGGAAGGATGTGGGTGAGAGATGGGCTATATGGGTGATGGGTATCAACAAGGGCACTTATGATAAGCACTGGGTGTTGTATGTGATGAATCACTGAATTCTACCCCTGAAGCCAATATTGCACTATATGTTAACTAACTAGAATTTAAATAAAATTTTGAAAAAGAAAAAGAAGTCATCCTGAAAAAAATGTTATCTTGGCCAACTTTGTTTGGCACTGACCCATTTTTATAGCTTTTTTCACTTTATACATACTCAAAGTGGACTGTGGCACATCTTCTGGCCTGCTTCAGGGTGGGACCTGGCAGACTGGTACCACTCTCAGCTCCTTATCCACCCAACAGTAAATTCCTGCACAAGTCCCTCACCCTGTGGGCTTCCTGTCCCAGAAGTTCTGTTAGTATGTGGGCCTCTCAAGGGTGAATGCTTACTTAAGTTCCAAGATACCCATGAAATAGAGCTGGGAATCACAGTACTATCTCTTAACTTTCTTTTTGAGGTTATATTATTAGAAAACATTTCCACTGAGCTCCCCTTTTCCTTCTCATCCCTTAGACTGGAAAAGTGGTATGCTCAAGAACACCATTTACAGCTACCCCTCTCTTTGGCCTACTGCCATGCCTAGCCTATTTGTTCTGACTGTTTATGGGGGGATGCATGGGGTCTACTGTAACCTTGACTTGAAACTTTTGGGTGCAAAGCTGACATCTTAGAATTAGAGTATCAGGGCTAGGGCCTTGGATATCATCCTCATGTAGCTCATTTAATATCTGGAAAAACTGAAACCCAGAGAAAAGAAGGGACTGACTGGCTTAGATACATCATAATGTAGTGGAAAGAGTGAGGATACTTTCTGGAGCCACAGAATTGGGGTTGAGTTATGTGTCTCTAGCTAACAAGCTGGGTGACCTTAGCTGATCACCTGACATCTCTACCTTGGACTATAAAATGAGATTAAGAAATTCTCTCCCTCCCAGGGTTCTCTTGTGGCTTAGAAGGTTTAGAGTGAAGGTATGTAGCCCAATTTCTGATGCATATAGATGCTAATATTAATTCTCCTGAGTACTGGACCACTGGTCTTTGTCCTTATCTTCATATAAGTCCTAGAACACTCACCCCTATGCCCAGGGCTTTGCTGTGGTTTGCCTTATATTCCATGAGTTCTGTGCACACCTGCATTAGTTTCCTCCACTGACTGTAAGCTCCTTGAGAATAGGGGACAAATCTGGCTTGGCATCTGACATATATCTCCACATACCTCTGAGCTAGCAGAGGTGCTGTAAAAAGGGGGCCTTGGAAACTCTGTAGAATTGAATTAGCTAGGAGTCTTGGTACTTTTTTGTCTTACTATGTAGCAAGGAGGAAAAGTCATTTCAGGCTGTGAATAACAGACCAAAGAATCATGTGATTGTAAAGTTTCCTATTTAATCGATATATTTTAGTGAACTGAGGGGAGAAGGAAAAAAAAAAACAATTTTAAGACAGTGACTGTATTCTCTTTTTCTCCATCTATCACTGTTTCCTTCTTGGCCTCCCCTATCCCCTTTTACTCATTGGGGAAGCAGAGAAACTTCTGTTATGTGCTTAGGCTTATTCTTCAAGTACAAGAAAGAGACTAAGAGACTAGATCTGGCATGAAGGACTGGTATAGAAAGATAAATTCATAGAGAAAAGGGAGGAGGAGGAAAAGAGAGAGAGAGAGAGAGAGAGAGAGAGAGAGAGAGAGAATATGAACCTCATGGAACCAGAATGAACCTTGGTGCCTGTAGTGCTAGAAAGCAGCTGCCATAGAGGGACTATATAGCAGTCCTGGGTGGTAGGGCTCATTTGGCCTCAGGATAAACAAAAGTATGGGTCTTTCCAACTCCAGGACTTCCCAGGGGACCTTCTCTCTATCCCTCTCTCCCATCAGGCCTTTTCTCTACTCCTACTGCCCTAGTCTATGCCCAGCCTTAGGTTCTTCCAGGCAGGTGACAGGGCCATGCCTCCTTCCTGGCTGCCTCTCACTATCACATGTTCTTCCCAGGGTGAGGACATCCTAGACAGGAGCTCGGAGCTGATCTACACTGGGGAGATGGCCTGGATCTACCAGCCCTATGGCCGCAACCAGCAGCGGGTCTTCTTTCTGTTTGACCACCAGATGGTCCTCTGCAAGAAGGTAACCCCAACCCCTTCTTTCCTGAAGGAGATGGCCACCTCAGGAGCATAAGCCCCTCCCTCTCCATTATCCCAAGCTCCCAATGAAGTGGCCATTATAGTAGGTGGGGAAAGACATCAGTGGTTTCTAATTTTGTGACCACTTCTTTAACTTTTGCTGTTTTCCCTCTTTGTCAATTTCCTTTTTAAAAATCTAGAATAAGACTTTGTTTTCTATCTTCTTGTCTTCCATGATGGCTGTCTCTGCTCTTCTGCATCTCATTGTCCTGTTAGTTTAGTTATGCATATGTTTTGTTATTTTCTTCCTTAGATGATTATACTGGAAGTTAATTTGGTGCTTTGGGGATTTTTGTTTCCTTTTTTTTCCCTTTCAATTTACTTTTTTTCTGAGGAGGGGAGGAGATCTCCTTTCTTCTCTCCTCAGGCATCCTCTAATGTTCCTACAGCCTGAAGTTGGCCTGAACAGCTTTTCCCCCTGTATTCTTTGTTTTTAATTATACCATCCTGGACATACTCTGTTTTCCTCTGTGTCATAATTACTAGTTATTCATGTTGGTTTAATTGTATTCTGGAAGGATCAGGAATTACATAGAGTATGATAACGCTGGAGAAAGTTCAAGGAACTTCTGCAGTTGGGCCATTTCTTCTTTCACTGAAGGGCCAGACTTGGAGGATGAGCCATTTGTAACTCAGAAATGCAACAATAGCAAAAGAGACTGGGGATAGAGCACAAAGGAGATGGGGATTTGAAACAAGAACACATGGGTCCTAGACTCTACTGTCTCTAAACTTGGGCCAGTTTTTTAACTTTATCCCCTTATTTTCCTCAGTGCCAAATCAGGCTGATGATAGAATTCATCTCAGGAGGCTTTGAGGAGGATCACCTGAGGTAATGGGAAGTAATGAAGTATAGTATTAAGAGCATGGGTTCTAGGGCCAGACAAAAGGGCACCAATTACCTTTTGTCCATGAGCCATATGACCTTGGACAAATTCTCTGTGCCTGGTATTATCCCCTCATCTGCAAAATGGAAATAATAATGGTATCTATATAGAAGAGAGGCTGTGAGGTTAAATTAAACACTACATTTGCAGTGCCTGGCACATAGTAAGTACTTAGTAAATGCTAGCTATTGATACTATTACTGTTTATTTGGTGTTAGTACGCATTCATTCAGCAAATCGTTGTTGGGAGGCAGTATATACAGTGGTTAAACAGACACATATTACATTTTTTATTAAAAAATTTTAACGTTTATTTATTTTTGAGAGAGAGACAGAATGAGAGTGGGGGAGGTGTAGAGAGAGAGGGAAACTGAATGAGCCACCCAGGCTCCCCAAACAAGCACAGAGTTTAGATCCAGGTAGTATGGACTCAAAGCCAAAGTCTACCATTTAGTAGCTTTTGTTTCTGGGTAAGTTAATGGTTCTATGTCTACATATCCTCATAAAATGGGGCTACAACAGTATGTACCTTGTAGGATTTTTGTGAAGATTATTTAAGTTAATAAATGCAAAGCATTTAGCTGCCAAGCGATGAATGCATAAAGAAAATGTGATACACACACACACACACACACACACACACACACACTGTAATATTAGCTTAAAAAAGGAGATTTTGTCATTTGTGACAACATGGATCAACCTACAGGATATTATACTAAAACAATAAGACAAAGAAAGGTAAATACTATATGCTCTTACATGTGTAATCTAAAGCAGTCGAAGTCATAAAGGCAGAGAGTAGAATAGTGGTTGCTAGGGGCTGGTGGGGGTGGGGGAAATGGAGAGATATTGGTCAAAGAGTAAAATACTTTTTGTTATGCAAGATGAATAAGTTTTGGAGAGTTATTGTACAACATGGTATCCATAGCTAACAATACTGTATTGTATACTTGAAATTTGCTGAGAAAGCAGATCTTGTGTTCTCATCACACACACAGAAATAACCATATGAGATGATAGATAAGCTAATTAGCTTGATAATCGTGATCATTTCACAACATATACCTATATCAAAATATCACATTGTATACCTTAAGTATATATAATCTTTATTTGTCAAATATGCCTCAATAAAGCTGGGGAAAAATGCAAAGCATTTGAAATAGTGTCTGGCACATGATATATGCTAAGTGTTGCCTGCTGCTGTTGTTGTTGCTGTTATTATTTTGTTATTAAGAATGTACTCTAGATATTGGAATATAATAATGAGAAATGTAAGTCCTGTCCATGCCTTCCTCAAGATCTGGAAAGAAATCCCAGGGTGGTCCAGGCTAGTGGTGGGGAGTAAATAGGGTCCCTCTCTAAAAAGGGAAGACTTTACTGACAAGCAAGTGAGAGAGGCAGCAATCCCTAAGAGTTACAGGCCCCAGATTGCAGCATCTGTCACTTATACAAAATGTTTTACAGTGTCTTACTAACCCCCATGAATACCCAGTGAGACCAAATTCAAACTTCTCCCAGCTATTTGAATTATGTAATGTCAGAGACTTGGATAGGCTCCTTGCTGGATCCATGGCTAGGCTTGGTGCTTGTCTGCAGACTGCCAGGGTCCTTCTGGAGAAGCACTGGCTTCCTTAATATCTTCCAACTTGGATGAGTGTAAGGGAAAAGGAGGAAGACTGGCATCCTATTAGCAACTATCCCATTTAGGCAGGGAACTTGTGATGACCAAATAACATCTGTACCAAGCACTTATTCACTGTGACCCTATGAAAGCACTCAATCATTAACAAGTGACTTTTGGGCAGCCTGGTCCCAATAGGACCTCAGGCAACCAGGGCTCAGGAGGGCTTTGTCCTCTTGCCATGTGCAGAAGCTGAGCAGAGACATTTCTGAGGCTTTGTCATCTGTCTTCCCCTGGACAACCCCTCAGTAAGGCAAAAGCAAGGAAGAACTATTGGGCACAGCTTAAATGGACAGACTAAAAGCTGTGAAACAGAACTAATGCAACTCAGTAGTGTGGTGGCTGAATGTAATTGTGTAAGGGTCTTCATAATCACTGCTAGCATTCAGAGAAGGGAAACCACAGTGACGAGCTAGAGAAGGCAGGGAAGCCTTCTTTGAGGAGGAAGAATGTGTAAATTTGACCATGAAGGCTAGAACGATTGGAATAGAAGGCACTGTTGGGGGCAGGGAGGACACATTAGTATGAGCCTACGTATAGATCTGTGACAACCCCCACCCTGAAAGGATATATGGAATTTCCAAGGACAATGGTGTAGCTATATAAGTTTTAAAATATTCAGTTGCCTTTGCTTTATTTATTTGTCACAATATTTAACTTATTTTGAAAATTTAAATGAACTAAAAGAAGCATTGAGATTTTTAGGTTTATCAAAAAGGAATTTTAAAGGCCTACAAAATATCAGTTGGGGAGCAAGAAAGCTCAGCACCATAATTATCAGACAAGGCTGGCCTCATGACCTGGAAGCTGCATGTTGAGATTTGAGATTTACAACAATTTTACAAGGTAAGGATGACTTGTCTAGTTTCATAGTTGAGAAAATTGGAAGTTCAGAGAGATAAAATGGTTTGCCCAAAACCACAGCTAGCAGGTTAAGCAGATAAAACTCAAACCCAGGGCTTTACACTCTAACTCACACTCTTTTTGTGCATGTTACATGCTGCTTTTTGGCCTTAGCTACCATTTCTGATGGGAATTTTTGAACAGTGGGTCATTCTTAATGAATCCTATAACATTCCTACACCTGAGTTTATGACTAAGCTGATGCCTGAAAACTCATGTTCAACCCTCTAGGGAGCTAGAAAGAGCAGGCAAAGGGAGAACCTTAACCACACACATCTCTAGTCTTGCTTCCCTACCACAGAAACAGAATTCTCTCAAGTTTCTTGTTATCCTTAAATACCTAAAGAAACAATAGGAGTTTCAGTTGATGCTTTTAATTTAGCTCCAAGATCACATAAATTCTTTCCATTTTGTTTGGAAACCAGTAAAGGTTTTTAAAGCTGACAATGATTATGACACACCAACTGAGAGACAAAGAAAGCTGCAGGTGATGCTGGAAGGCTGGGTCCAGAGACCTGAAGGGTTACTGCAGGATCAGCCAAGAGGGTTCTTGGCTTCACAAATGATGGAAATCAAATGTGAGCCAGCAGGAGGGTGAAAGCAAAGTATATATATATATATATATATATATATA